TTGGGCTGGCAAAAACAGCCACAAAAGCAGCAACACTGCTCTGTGTTTGAGAGCAGACCTCCCTGTCTGTGACCTGTTGGTTCGCTGATCTTCAAGCTGTTTGAGCATGGCTTTTTCTAAGCATTCTCCAGTGGCAATGTGGACTCCCATGTAGGGCTCTTAAACAAATTGATAATGAACTTGCTTTGTGAAAAAAAATTCCCAGGTTTTCTGAAATTACAAGTTGAAACAACTGCATGTTGTTTATTATTTCCAACCCTAACCATTCTATGTATCAGCACCATACAGTCTGTCCAGCCTGGATAATAAAATACTTTGGCCCCAAGTATTGTAACCTGCGACACCAGGTTAGAGATGTGAAAGAAACAAGCGCCCCACCTTAAATAAATTCACACTTATATGTAATTAATTCAGTGCAGCTCCCTTCACTTTATAAGGTGTGTCACATAATCAAAGAATTCATGTTTTAACTGTAGGAGTAAAATGTGAGAGAGTAGGTTTGAAAATTCATATACCGCACAGTTAAGGACTTGTAGTTTATCATACACAGTTCAGGCAGGAAAATACAGTATGTGGCTATGTTTGGTATGATAAGAAGTGTCAGAATTCACTATTTTGTTTTAGTTATTGCATTATCATGCTCTGTTTTTAAAGGGATCTCGGAGAAATTATTTAATAATTTTAATAATTTAATATTTACAAGTTTATTGGCAAAGGGCTTTATCCGTATGATAACTGGCTGCTCCTTGGAAGTGGTTATTACATATGTCCCTGGGCAAAGGAAGCTGGATTTTCTTTTTTTTTTTTTTTAATTCCTTTAAGATCATTCATGTTAAAAATATTTGACTGGAAAAAAAATCTGGGTTTTTTTTTATGACATAGAAATGAAGTATGGAAAGTTTGTTTGTTTATTTCATTAAATGACTTATTCCCTGGGGAGTTCTTATTTTAGAGCCTCAGTAGATGTTTTTCCCTTTACTTAATTTCTGAACAAAGAGGAAAATGTTGGAAACCCAGTGTTCAACAAACTGCCTGGCTGCATGGAAGCCTTAGAAAAGGGGAATAAAGGGCTCTTCAGAGGTCTTTTGGCAGTCGTACTTTGTAGCATGCAGCCTGAGAAAACTTTCATGAGTGTTTTTGAAAGTCGCACTGTTCTCTTTCGAGTTTAGATGATAAATAACCAGCCACTCCAACGAGCTGTATAGTCTCCAACTTTTTTACACTTTAAAGATGTTTATTTTCAGGTATTCATGGTTAAAATGCTTGTTTAAAGCTATGTTTCAATTTCAGATCAAGCTCATTTTGAACCATGAAGGAGTATTGCAGTAATGAACACGATCTACGTTTATATATTAATAGTTACGGCATATCAGACGTTCTTTAAAGGAACATGTGCACTTATGTTGTCTGTTTTCATGTTTAGATGTACATAAACTTAAATTAGGTCTTACCTTACGTATTTTTTTCATTATGACAGTCAACAGAGGTGGCATAACATTAAAGAAAATGGCAAAGGAATAGTCTGTTTTTCACATAAATTCCAGCTGTTCAGTCTCAGATTTTCTGATAGACACAGGTGATGAGAAGAGTTGGAAAAAGCAACACTGAAGTCCTAACCTCTGTTCACAAGTCGTAGAAATGAGATGCCTTATGTAATAAATGCTGCAGTCACTGCAGATCTACTTGTATGCTGCTTGGGTTGGTAGTTCTTGAATGTGCTTGTAAACTGGTCTGTAGTTGTTGAGTTGAGGTCATTCTCTACCAGACAAAGTGGATAGTCATCTTGCAAAGATGTCCTGGTTTAACACTGTGTTGGTCTGAGAATTGAGTCACACTGTTCCATCACAGTAGGCAGTGATAAGGCTTAATTTCATTGACGTGCATTCTGAACTAGCACCTGTGAGGTGACTGGGAAGGTCTCATCTTTGTGAATGCTTTCTGATTGCTCTGCACTGATTATTATTAACATACTTCTTATGGCTTATGACAGAGACAAAGTTCTTTAAAGAAATAAATAGTGTGACTTGTCTGGGTTTATAAAGATTTATTCATGGTCTGGCACACCCTGCCAATTCGGCAGAAGCTCAGCTCATGAGAAGAGTTGTCTTCTGGGAAAGCTTAAATTGGTTCCTCATAAAGGTCAAGTTATACCAGCAAGAATTACTTCGTGCTATAGCTCTGTCCCAGTGGTTTTCTGAGTAAGATTATTATGTTGTCTGAGAGTTTTGGGTTGTAGAGTACTTTCCTTAACTAATACATGCTTTCTGGGAAGACTTTAATTGCAGAGCAACCCAAAGAATACAGGAGAAGTGTCTGTTTCTAAAACCAGCTTGATAAAGACAGTCTTGCTTTTGTTCATTTAGGGTCTGTTTTCTCCTAATAACTCCTTTGTAAAACTGTTTCACAAGATTTGATATAGAATAGGAAGGTGGTAGACAAATTTTGGCAGCTTTTGGTGCAAGTATCCTCAGCTGTGGGAACCAGCAGGAGGTTGCAAATGGGTTGGTGGAAGGTTGGCAGCTAGAAGTTCAGCCAGCTGAAAATAATCTGCTGGGGTGGCTGAGGTAGAGGCACTGATTCTCTCCTGTTCCCTCTGGTGTGACAAGTGGTGATGATGGACTGCCATGAGCACCATGAGCAGGCACAGCAGAGGCACATTGCTTCAGCTGACTGTGCCATTGCAGGGGGAGCAGCCACATTGGAATCAATGTCGCTATAGCTGTTTGCTCAGTGAATGTGAATTGGGAGTCCCAGTGTTTACAAAGTTGTGTCCAGGGCCATAAGATTTGAACTCACAGTCATATCACTTTGCAGTAGGCTGTGTGGATGGATTGAAATGGACTTCACATTTTCCATAATCCCCCAATATGCGCCTGTTTCTTGTGTGACACACAGAAAGCTATGCAGCCTTTTTTCCCAGTCATGTTAAATTTTATTTAGAGGTAATAAATGCCCTTTTTTCTTGTATCAGATTGAGTGGGAAGCCTTTGCAATTTTATTTTCTTTTGATACAACTAGTATCTTTTTGTTTGTTTGTTTCTTGTGTCATTTCTGCCTCCAAAGCTGTTTCTATCTAACCAAAGCCCCAGATAAATAAACACATAAGTGAGCTGTTTATGGTTGAAACTTTTCTCGCTTGCAAGAGCCTGGCTCCTGTCAGAGCAACTGGAAGATCCAGCTATGGGCTCAGGTTGCTGCCCATACCAACCTGTTTCTCCAGTGCACAGTACTATGCAAATCTGTATATTTAAAGCACAAACCTGTAACAACAGCAGCAAAAAAGGAGTGGATGTTTGACAAATCACACAAGACCATCTCAAAGTTCCGAGTAGAGTTTACAAATTAGTAATTAGTTAAGTGGGATGTCCCATGGAGAATTTCATGGATTACTGCCCAGCTTTTCAGACAAGGTAGCTAAGCCTGGTCTGAAGAAATGCCTGTCATATTTAGGTGGCAAGTTAGATTATCTTCATCTTGTTGAAAGCAAAACATTTATTGCTTCTTATAGATTTGCCGTCTGTGCAGAAAAGAGCTGTGTAAACTATTTTCAGTCTAGAAAAAAGAGTTGGAGACCTAATTTCATGTGAAGACCCTTTGTACAGTTTGTCGGCTTACTCCACCATCTGATTTTCTAAAATAGATAAAGCAAAGTGAGTGAATAGGGTGGTGAAGATAGTTTAGAAATGAAGTATTCTGCTTTTTTAAGTCGGCCTGTGTGGGGAGTGGCTGTCATGAGCCTTGCCGTACCTCTCTTTGGAACGCGATATGAAGTAGAGAGGTGTTACGTGGGTGACTGATACCTGCAAGGTGTGCATCAGGGGAAGTGACTGGGAGCAAGGTCAAGATTTGGTACTACCTGCAAAGGTCAAGACCTGCAAGGTCAAGAGAGATACTGCCTGAAGTACAGCTAGATGCATGATCCTCTCTCTAGGAGTTACGCAGCTGCCGTAATTTGTGATTTTTCATCTTTGTTTCAACAAGATGAGTGCTGCTTGCAGTTCCTCCAGGAAATCTCCCACAGCAGTAGCTGGGGTGTTGACCATGGGATATGAGGCCGTGGAGAAACCCAGAGGTCCTTCGTTACCACTCAGGGCTCCCATCTAGCTTTTGGGAGCCAAATGTGATGTTTTCTCACTGGAAAGCAAAGGGCCAGATGGGCAGGGCTGGAGCCAGTCCAAACATGTGCTTTAGAAACTTGCAGATGTGGAATGTCTGTTGTCTTAACTCTTCATGATGTGCATGCTATGGGACAGGGTGTAGGGGAAATGCATGTGCCAGATATTGACCTGCTCATGGGCTGTCACACCATGAAATAATACACTGGCCTCTCTTCCATGTTCCCAACACCTAGAAAAGGTCATGGCAAAGATTTTACCTTAATTATCATAGTGGTAGTTATTGTTCAATTTACTGCAAATCAGCCACCAGGTCAGTGCCTACTGATGCCTTAGCTCTGTGCACTGCACAGTTACTGCCTCTGGTAAAATATTGCTGGCTGTGCTGATATCAGTATGCCTATATAAGGATGGATGTGGAGAGCAGACACTGGTAAAGCTTAATCATCCATTGCTGGCTGTCCAGCCCTGATAAGGGAGGAGGTAAAGCGTCCTATTACCCACCTGCCCATTGCCTCACAGTCCATGCATCCTGTCCCCAAGAAGTTTGGACCTTTCCTGCATTGTCTGGCAGGATCAGCCCAATGGTATGAACCATGGTGCGGGATTTCCCAGGCAAGCTTTTCCAGCCCTATTACACTGTATTATAATTAAACATGCACTCTCTGCCTTTGTAGAGATTTTGTGCCATGGCAGAACTCTTGTATTTCAGACAATCTTGATTACTTTGGGGTTTTTTAACCCTAAAAATAGATTTCTCTTATAAATGTTTCTCTCTGAATGTTTGCTACTTGATCATCCTGTTGCTTTCTGTGTGTTTATACTTTTGTTCTTTCCTTTCAGCGTTTATTAGAACAGCTTCCTTTTCCTCAGAAGTGCTATGTTACTTATAAATTGCCTTTTTATTTGCAATATAGCATGTGTGAAATGGGCCGTAGATGATGGCTACATGGCTTGAGAGTAGAGCTCTTCATTTTGATGTGTTTTATAAACAGATGGCAATAAATGATCTGATCCTGTGTCCTTTGACTTTAGTGGGAGTTTTCCAACAAGCGTATTTATGCAAGAGCAGCCCGTCTGCCAGCACCGCGTCAGCGGGCAACATGCCTTTGCATTCAGCACTGTTGCATGTCCCCGTGCCAAGAACGAATTTTGCCGATTCAGATTTGCTCAGTTTGTCAACACACAGCTCCCATTGAACTTTGTGGGACAAGAATCAGTCTTGGCATGGGGCCGCAGGCAGCCCAGGGAGCACTGCCCATTGCCAGCACCAGCGAGAGGAGCAGCACTCAGCCTCGGCTCCACAGTTTGCAAGGGTCTCATCTCCTGTAGCATGTGTTTGCTGTTGTTTAACTGGTGGGAAGAGTCGATGATAAAAAGAGATTTCCTAGGTTAGTTTTCAAGGCTTGGTTTTGTCAGGTTTTTTGTGGCTGTCTGTATGATTAATATGAATAGGAAAATACTGTTGACCCATTTAAATCATGTTAGACAACATCCATTGCTCATCTGCATAATGAAATACACGCTGAACATTACAGCCTAAGTATAAGAGCCAGTGAACTACAAAAATAATATTTTACTCATTTAGATTATGAAGTAAAATACAGGACATTAGTACTAATCATAGTATTAAACTTTAAACCATGCAAATTGTAATTGTCAGTGAAAAAGAACTATAAGTTGAAAAGGCTATTAACATTTCAGCTTTAACAGTTAATATGAGTAATTTTTTTTTGCTATTGTGCAGCTTTGAAAAGTCTATGTGCAAAGCGCTTAATTGTAAGTGCAGGAGTGTTTGGTTTATATCATTATTTAATTTCAGTTGTTAAAGAAATGTTAGAAATATTAATTTGCAGTATTAAAAAGTATTAACAATTTATATTACAAAGTATAAATTGTAATCTTTACTGGGATAAAATTAAATTTAAAAGGCAAATTATTAGTAACCGAGAGATTAAATCATTTTAAGCATTTATTTAAGTACCAGAGCAAAAATGAAACCTTTGAAAATATTGATTTTGTTAAATAGAAACATCATTTTCAGCATTTTAAACTAAATACAAATGTTAAAGTACTGAATTTAGGCTGTCAGGTTTCTATGGTTACCTACCTTTCCAGCAGTTCAGTGAGATGTGTAAATAGGCCTATGAGTCACTTGTAATTATTTGGTTTTGTTTGTTATAGTTGTAATTCTGTGTTCAGTTTGAATCTAATATAGTTCACACCACATGCTTTGGTTTATGTATATTTTAGTCCATATGATTGACAGTGATTGAGCATTTCTTATGGAGTGCTTGGGTTTTTTTGTCATAAGTGATGTATGTTGGTATTTCTGAAAATGTAAACAACTTCTTCCTGTATCACTGTTTGATAAACAGGGACTTCTGTGATAAGAAAGAGGTCTTTGTAAATGTTACACAAGGAGATAAATGAAAAAAAAGAAAAGAAAACCAGCTCCTAAACATTATACCATACTCTTCCAAATTCAATCCATACTCCTATCATTATAATTTATTCGGTGACCCAAATGCCATGTATTTATGAATAAGCTTCCAAGTTACACATTAATAGCACATACTAATGACTGACAGGTTTAAAAATAAATTTTTTAATTATGATGCTACAAGTTATCCACAGCAAGATCTTGATTGGAACATCTTCCTTGTGGGGCAGAGGGGGGGAAGAGCTTATCTCCACCACCACCACCACCACCGTAGTTTAGTAGGAGCAGCTGTAAACTCTTGCACCTCTCTGCTCCTGTATCTTGAATTCCAGGTTATAGGATGAATTCCCAAATGTTACACTCTTCACTCTAGCGAAGGATATGTACATGTTTTCTCAGTAAAGACTCACTGTCCTAATGTAACTTGTGTTTTCATGTGAAAACAGGACAATTCAAGTAATTAACATTTAATACAAGGCAAGAAACACTGTTAGCTGTAATTTTTACCAGATGAATAGTAATGTAATCTTAATTTATCAAGGTATTCATCACAAAATTGCTGGCAGTGTACACTTTTTTATTATTGTTATTGTTATTTTTGAGAGAAGACTGGCTTACCATTCAGAAATCATCTTGTATCCTTACAGATTGAGCTGCAGGTATATTGAAAATAATTATTGCAATTGGTCTTACGTTCTGTGCGGGGAAAAGACTCCTGCCTGCCTATTATCTTCCTGTGTCTCAAGCTATGCAGAAAATCCCAATACAATGTTCAGGAGCACTCCTAAATTTTCTGAGCAAAAATTACTCTTATTTCAGCAGCTTTGAAAGGGTGTCTGTGGGAAACATTTTTTTGTGGTGATTCAGACATATTTTTTCCATTTCAGGTAGAAATTTAGGAGTTTAAAGTAGGATTTATTTTTAACGTGTAATTCTGTATCAGGCGTGTATATAGGACATGAACATGCCAGTTGAAAAACAGTTGTTTCACAGCACACCTGAAAAGATTTTATCCCAGTAGGATTCAATGAATGTTAGAGCTGTGGGTGGGTGCATGTAAACAAGAAGACTCAGTATTGTGTGTAAGAACTACTTGAATAGCTTATTATTTTAATCTGAAACAACTGCTATTTTTAAAAATAACTTGTTCCAACAGTTCTTGCTTCCCTACAAAATCAAAATTTAATAAAGTAACCAATCTTTCAAGTGAAAGTCGTTTCTCCAATCTTTTTAAAAACCTGAAGGTAGATAGGTAATGATTGAAAGATGTATTTAAATATGTAAACCTGAGCTGATATGTTTCTCATTCCAATTTATTCTCTTTATGATAAATTAATTTACTCAATATAGGAATGCAGTAACGTAAGAGGAATGTTTCTCCTGCTAGTCACAGAACTTGAAACTTGCCAGATGCCATGATCTGGAGCCTAAATTCCCCTGATACTAGCTGCATGAAACTCTTAATATTGCTTTGCCCAGCTTTTGTACCTGACTTGTTTCATTTTGCTGTGATACTGCTGTAGACAACACCTTCTTTTTATTTTCTACTTGTGTTATTCTATTGGAGAAAGAAAATGTAGTAGAAATAACACTAGGGTGGAAGACTCAATTGGGGAACTGCAATGTCTGTTCCCAAAGTTAAGCCTGTACAACCCAGTCCCACTTCTGTAATTGACAATTAATTTCCTTTGGTATATGAATGAATACAATTCAGATATAGTATTTTTTAAATCATACAATAAAATGGGAAAGTGCAGTTTAATGAGATCAGGATTTTACTCAGTCAATTTCTTAGATTGCTTTGGTGTGACTCTATGTGTTTGTATATATATATATATATATACATACACAACTGCTTAACTGGTTGAAGGGGTTTTTAAGGATATAAAATTAATTTCTCCTTTTTTTTTCTTGTTTGTTAAAGTTGCACTCTTGGTTGCTGCTGATAAAAGGTGGCACTGAGCCAGCTTCCTGAAGGAGCTGTGGGGAGGGTCATGGCTTGTCATGACCTGGGCACCGTTACTTGAATGTTGTTATTATTGAGATGAAGTACCCTTAGGCTGTCATCCTTCCTGTAAATAGAAGAGGTTCTGATTCTCTGTGGTTTCCCAGTTTACCAACTTGTAGAACAGCTATTTTGTTGGCCCTAAGTTTGAGTGAATAATGAATTAGAAGACCGGCACTATTCCAGAAGGCACTGATTCATCATTTTAGTGTGCTGGTGTAGACTAATAATAAGTAAAGCCAAACAAGAATGTACTTCCATATAGTTTATAAATTTGCAGCCAATTAAAAAACTCATTTGTATTGGCGTACAGCAAATACAAATTGTCTGGTTCCGCTGTCCATGAAATAAGGTCAAAACTGTAATTAACAGGGGCATAACTGGTCCTCAGGGCCAAACTTAACTTTTTCCGTGTCATGGAAGAGTCCAGTGGTGTTGGTAGAGGGGCTGCTTCTGCTCCCTTGGAATCAGTGGGTGTTCGGCCATTGCTTTGCTTTATTGCCTCTTCTGAGGGTAATGAGAACAGCAATTCTGTTAACACCTTTATTAACTAAACAGCTTTAGTCGTTAGTTTCCAGTTAATTTCAATTATTAAATAAACCAATGCCAAATTAGAATATAATGTTTGTGAGATACTGGCACATGTTTCAGTTTGTACAGTCATAAGCATGCTGTTGTTGAGGTTTTTACCAATGTGTTGCTGTTGTAATTGAAGTCATATCTATCCTGATGAATATTTCATTTCCCCAATCATGTTATTAAAACCAGAGTGGTTTTACCCTTTCATTTCTGTTTTCTCTTCTCCAGTACCATCATGACAGCTGTGGCTGCGTCCTGTTTACAAATTGCTGCTAGTCCCTTTTTCAGTAGTCCTTGTGGGTTTTGTTTTCCCCTAATATGGGCAATTAGGAGGAAATATTTCTCACGAGCATGGACTTTCTCTTATCCTTGTAATGACACAGTCCTGCAGTCCAGGAAACAGTGCTGCATGGTGTCCATGTCCACGATTTCCTGATGTGGGAAAAACGTGTGGAAAGCATCTGGAGAGGAGGAGACCCCCTTTACCAGCTTGTTTCCTGTAAGCGAAATTCGAAGACCTTGTCTGTGCAAATAGATTTCAAAATAGAGTCTGCCCTTTGACTGTCTCCATAATTACACAGCGCTCTCTGTATTTTATTTGGCTGCCAGAGCAGTTAACCCCTGGAAGTAAGGGGCTGATGATGGCATGACCAGCACGGGTATGCAGACATGACCATGTGAATACACTCTTGTTTGGAGCAGCCTGTCGTTAAGACCTCGTTGCAATATACTTTTACCAAATTTAAAAATTATTTTGTGTTGGGCTGTGCTGGATGCTCCATCCTTAATGTACAGAAAGCATGGAGGTATTAGCTGCAAAAAAGAAAAAAAAAGAGAAAAGGAAAAAAAGTTCTTTCTTGGCTTTGATGTAATCAACATCTGTCAACAGAATGAATTTGCTTTTGTTTAATTTCAAGGGCTCTTGTCCTACTTTGCCCAATCAGTTTCAGCTTCTGCCTCAGGCATTTCCCTGTGTTGTTCTTTTTTTTATCCCCCCCCCCCCCTTTTTTTTTTTTAAGCAAATGCACAGGTTATTGCTTGTGAAATGTGAGCTGCTCTTTTGCTACACAGGTTACACAGAGTTGGAGAGAACCTTTAATCTTTCCCATGCAATTTCTGAAGCTTGGACGTACCATTGCAACACGGGGATTACAAAGTCAGTGTTTTAAAAGACAGAATTACAAGTAAATGATCTTTCAAACCACAACCCTTATTTTGAATTGGAACATTTGGTAATTAACAGTAAAAAGCTATATATTCTTACCTAGTTGCATTGGTTGGATTCCACATACCCATAGTGATTTTTAATAAGTCACTTTAAACTTTAGTCCTCTGAAGTTTCAGCAAAAATAATATTTGCATAAGAAGTAAAATTATGCTATTGAAATGACCTGACAAGGCAAATTAAAATCTCTAGTGTTTTGCTGTCAAATGCATGTATCCTAAGAAAATCTCCACAGTCATTCTTTTTTCAGTAAAAAAAAAAAATTCACATCTTTTGAAAGTAGTTATCAGAACAATGCTTTTGATGTTGTTAATTGTTCATATACACTAAGATTTACTTTATCAAGAGCAAGTTGATTTTATTTCCTAAATGGGCTAGATGTTAATTCTTGTAATCCTAAATAACTTTGGTACTCTGCTTCTGTTGGGACTATGACTAAATCATTTTTAAAAATGTTAATTTTATTTCTTGGCTCTTTTAAGATGTACCCTTGTATTTATTGTAGCTTAGAACTGTCCTGAAGTTTATCCTTTGCTAACATTTTTGTTAATTGCTTGGAAATTTGAACTCTCATAAATAAATACTCCAAAAAAATGGTTTCTAACAATCGCGTTTGATGAGTCATGTAGATGAGCAGTTTTTTGCATGGCTACCCCACACCTCATTCATTGAAAACACAGCTGATAAATTGCTGCAAATGTTAAACAAGAGGCATTAGAAAAGGGCTTATGTGAGAGTTCATTTCCAACATCTCCTGTTAAAAATACTTCTTGACCAGAGGAAAATCACATTTAAATGACTAAAATCAACTTAATTAAGGGTCATTAATAGAGATACACATAAAAAACTCTCCACTCTGTGAGTGAAATGGGAGCATTTCATTATATAGTATAGCATGCATGAACAGATAACAATTAAAATAGACCTAGAGTAAAAGGCTAATAAATATAGGGCACATTGTACTACAAAATCAGTCACTTAAAAATGCTCCCACCCATCATCATACTTGAATTCTGTATTCAACCCCTTTGGCTGCCTCGTTTAAGAGAAAAAGAAAATGTCATTTCCTCAGAAGATAAATTCATCTGGTAATTCACAAAAGCTCACAGCGCATATTTATACTATTAATACAAATTAAGGTCTGTAAGGAATGCTAAGGAATCCAGCAGCTCCAGCAGAACATGCATGCATACAGATTGCATAGTGTGATTCACTGTCAAGTCAGAGGAGAAGTTGTCTGTAATTTTCTGCGCTCGGTACATCCTATCTGCTGATGTGATTCAGTAATGCTGGTAATGATTCTTCTTATTGCAGCTGCTAGTAAATACTCTCTTACTTGTGGCAGGTGACATAGTCTTTCTGTTGGGAGAGAGGAAAAATGTGTAAAAGGGTCAACTTTGCATCCTGGCTTTGGTCATGTGTTACCAGGCTACCTGGCTTCAAACTCCAGGCTCTAATCAACAACTGCAGTTTCCACTGGAAGCTGTGTAAATCCTGTGTGTATGAACTATCTTACAGTAATTAATATACACAGAAAGCTTAGCAAGAAGGACGTGCTTGAGTGCTAGAGTTGCAAAAGTAAATTAGGCACTGAGAAAAGCTTTGGTAGGTGTAAGGGATGGGGAGGAGGGAATATCTGAGCCAGACTTGGAGAATACAGCCAGTTGTTCCTGTCTCCAATGATTGATGATGTTGCTATATCGAATTAGCTGTGAATATGGGAGCTTAAAAAATAAAAGGAGCTGTGGAGGCATTAGGAAGGCCTTCTTAAGGAAGGAAGTCTGTGGATGGAGTCCAGATTTTCATTATAAAACAATAACTTCATTATATTTTAATGCCACTTTATTTCTTTTTATTTTAACTTTGAAGGAAAATGTTTTCTGCTATGATTTTTTGTATTTCAAATAAAGGTTTAGTTGTCCTGTGTTTATAATTCTTGTGATGTATTTTAGGAGTCATGTTATACTACGGTGATATTTATTTTATTGTCTCATTTCACCTGTTCAAGTAGTAGATATTCTTGTATTCGTCTGGTTTATAATGAGTAGTTAGAATAACAACAGACTACAGTGTCTTATTATCCTGTTATCTTGTGACAACACTTACAGCGTCTCTGGGAGAACAGAGGCAAAAATTTAATTCCAAATAAAAAGCTATGCCTTCCAAATGTGGGACAGCCGATAGGTACACACCCATGAATATAAAGTGGTTCAGTGTACTTAAGAACATGTATTTGGACATATGGAGCTTTATTGTTGAGCAATTGACAAGCCTGCCTGCACCTTTTCTTCCCCAATTAAACTTTTACGCAGTAGCCAAGGTGCCCAGGCAGCATGCTATGTGTCAAGGAGAGCATTCATGTTCCCATATTCATGTCTGCATGGACTTCAGCTGACTGCATCAGTGTGCATGGGTTTTCAATATATTTATAATACCTTCAGCTGCGGTAAGAGCAAGGTACTTCCACTTCTCTCTCTAAAAGGCCTACCTTAGCTTAGGCTGGCAGACTGATTGCTACTTCTGAGGGCTTAAAAGTTGTTCCCTTAGCAGATTCTGTGCTTCCAGCTTCCAGAAATGGGTGCAGACCAGCCAGGGAGTTTGTACGATGCTTTGGGCTCTTTGGATGCACTTACATGTTGTGCAGGTTAAATAGCCCACTTTCTTTTTTTTTTGTATTTAATTGGACAACGATTTTTCTTCCTGTGAAGGAGACACTAGGGAAAGCAGTAGGTGAGGTTGTGATTAAACTATATTTAAAACACCACCAAAGCAATCCAGCCTTCTGTTAACTGAGCATCTCTACTTCCATGGAGACACTGTCTTCCCTTTTGAAACAGGCAACTTCCATTGGGGTACCCAGCTTACACTGAGAGCTTGATCTGGGCCTCACTCTCCAGCTCTGCCTTGTTACTTATCAACAATTTAAAAAAAAAAAAAAAACCCAAAACCAAACGTGTAAAAATTTCCTTGTGTTGAGTAAAAGGATTTACAGCCTTTCAGATACTGGTAACTAAACATGGCATGAATCAGCAAAGAGACAATGGGTTACACTTCTAAAGCAATCTTCATACAACTGTTATTTCATTCATTCTATGTTTTAGGGCTCCAAAAAAAGGTGTATAACTTGAATCTCCTGTATAACATGGAATGCTGTAAAGTGCATGTGGAAGGGTGATTTCTGTATCTGGACATGATAAATGCATCCAAAAGAAAGGAAGGAAGGTACAACAAAATAAAAACATAAAAGATATGGAAGAAACTTCTTCTAAAAAAGAAAAAAATCATTCTTGCATAGTACAAAATATGTAGTAAATTAATTTCTTGATTTCTGTGATACAAAAATGTTTAGTTACTTCTGTTTAAAAGAAAACATGGTTTACTGAAGAGTAATTATTTGTATGGGTCACTTCCCATAAAGGTTTGCTCTTGTGTTTGTATATACAGATGACATTTTTCAGAAGTAGATTAACTATTACATGAAACTTTTATTTCCGAAAAGCCCTCTATTTAGATTGTAGAATGTTTGAGTAATGGAAATATGCAATATGTGCAATTGTATTTTAATTGGCAGTGTCAATCCCTTTGAATTTAGCATGTTTCCCAGTTTCAATACTAGTGTCATCTTTTGTGATGCACTGTTTCGGATTTGATGTCTCTGACAACCTTTGGGTCTCAATGTACTTTTTCCCCCTTTTTCTTTTTTCTCTCTTGTTTGGTTTTTGGTTGTTTTTTTTATTTTTTTGAGAGGGGCAAAATGTTTCATTGCCTAACAGCTCAGTTTGAGCAATGAGCACTGTGCTGAACTGTCATCCCGAATTCCCATGTGAATTAAATGGAAATCTCATTCAACTTACAAATTTTAATCTATTCAGTTGCCTTTGGCCAAAATTAAAAATAACTTTTTTATTTTTAATAAAAAGTTTTTTCTGTTGCCTTCCTAGGCAGGACAAATTGAACCCCATTCCTTGTGGACAAATGACAAGGGCAACATTAACTTGGTCATGCTTGAATCCATGACCAATTCTGAAAAAATACAGCTGAAAATACTGTCTGAAATCAATATTAAATCTTTTCCTTTTTTCCCCTTCTCTTTTCTTGCTATTGTCCCTTATTTACCATTTCACCAAACCTTGAACAGGACAGCTTCTAGCCTTGCAGGGGCCAGTTGGAGCATCACTCCTGGCTGCAAGCTTGGGGGAATTTCCCCACACTGCTTTTTAATACATTGAGCCAAAACAGAACTGACATTTTGTAAAGCTTCAAAGTATTCTTTGGGGAGTTTTTTTGTTCTTAGTGCTTCTTAGTGTTAATGCTCTGTCTTTAACAGTAAAAGACTTGAACAATTTGAACTACACTTGGCCACTGCATGAGTTCTGTGTTTTATTTTACACGATGTCCTTCTTTTTGCCCTTTCCAGTTTGTAACGTGTAGTAGAAAGCAATGTTAACCATTTTTATCTTATCTGTTAACAGGTTCTGTGACTGGCTGCCGTGTATTCTTTTCTTTGTGCAATCATATCTACCTGCACAGACAGTCAAGCAATCAACAGCAAAGATGCTGCATCTTTCAGGGACAAAGAAATACTGCTTATAGCATAGTTTGGCCAGCTACAGTTTCTCCAGCTCACCCAGTTCCTAAGGTACTGCAATTTCTATTATCTAATGTGTTCTTCAGTCATGTAGAGTTCAGCTGCAGGTGGGATCAAGTGTATTCATTGTCCAACAGCTAGGAGGTTGGGTCACTGTCCTGTTGCTTGAGCTGGTATTTGAAATAGGAGCATTGGTGAGAGAAGTTTTCAGCTGCCTACCATATTAAACACAGTTATTAGGGAGTTTAAATTTGGGGCTTGTTCACTTAGGGTAGTATAAATGTGGAATATCTTAATAATCTGTCGGCACTTTACACTTCTGGGTCCAGATTCTCGGTTTGGACAATTGTAGATGGTCCTACCAAGAGTCAGGAGGAATTATTAATGATCATCTGAGTCCTTTTCTATATAAACCTCCAGCAAGCTAGTTATAAAAGCATCTATATTTTGCTGAAGGTTTTGTTAATTGGTTATGTCAGATTTAGGAAGAGAACATACAATACCTGCTGGTAGCTGCCATGCAACCCCACTGCACGTTCTAAGCTTGTCTTCACTGTGCCTGAGTGTAGTTTTTTACTTGCAACATATACTTTTATGTACTTTAGAGCCAAAAGGAACTTTTTTTCATGCAATTTTAAAATGTGTCCAACTTCTGGTGTTTTGGGTTTTTTCTGTTTTTTCTTCCCTTTCCCTCCTCCCCCCCATTTATTTACAGCATACAGATTAACTGTTTAGCATCTTTTCTTCAGGCAAAAGAAAACCAAAATACCTGTCCCAAACAGTGCTTCAGGATCTGTATTAATACTTTTTTAAATTTTACTTTTCATCTTATTATAGATTTCTTATTCAAAATATAGAGTATTTCCATGGGCCAGAAATACTTGAAAGTTGTTAGATAGGAAAGCAGATAAGGATGTAGGGCTCTTATGCCTAAGAGGCTGTGGAAGCTCTGTGCAAGGGGAGAACATAGAGTTATATACTTTAGATATTTTCAAAAGTTTATAAATTGTGGAACTCTTTTTCCGGTATTTAAATGCTTCTTTTAGGACAAAGAGGGAGAAATATATTGTCATAATGAATAATTGTCTTCACAGATCAGAGTTCTCAGATTGTCTAAAAATCAGTCCAATTCTTTAGCTCTAAAAACTTGAGGGCAAAGTAACTGCCTCATACAGAATATGCCAGAGATCACACTGAAATAACGTGGTTGTTCTCAAGATGTTGGTGTGAAACTGTATACATAGACATTTTTATCTATGCTGCTTTGGGCTTCTACCTTAAGAGATCTTGCAGGTCAGGAGGGTCAGGTCTCAACAGTTTCTAGATATGTGCCCTCCAAGGGGAAAGTGAGGGTGCTATGGTTATGGAGTTGCTAATCCAGGAAATGGAGGGGTTTTTACTAAATTAAGTCCCAGCCCACTGCAATAGGATGTTGTTAGGGTCAATATGCTGTTAATTTGAACAAAACGGAAATCTGAAATTCTGTTGACCTAAGTCCACTAAAGATAGTTTCACTTTTTATCAGAGCAGAAAATTAAATACCTGTAGGAGTAACAGTAGTCCTATTTAAAGCCCACCTAGAGCTAATTGGCTGTACCACTCTTTACCCCTACACCCTGCTGGTTTATGGTCTTCTTGTGTACAGCCCACATGCCCACTTTGGTTTCTGCTGTTTGATTCTGTACTCTGTGAACTTGAATCTATGTTCTGTGAACTCAATGCAAAACTGACCCTGTGGCTGGCATGGTAGAGAATCAGCCCTGCTGTGATGGGCGAAGGGACTCTTCCCCAGCCAGTGAAACAGCCCAGGAACCTCCAGGAGAAAGTGTATTTCCATCTGTGTGCGGGATGCATCTCTGTGCATTTAACACCTCTGTTAACCATTATTATTAGTTTGTTGTATTTATACACATGCCATTAAATTGTTGTGGATTTTAAAAAATCAGAAATGAATTTTCAGAACTTTATGTGTGGGAAAAAATGGAGTTTATTGCACTTTCCTTGACACAGCATAATGTTGTAGATGAACAAATTTGGGCACAGCATATGATCTAGATTAAGAAGTAAAAAATTCCAAGTTAAAATAAGTTAAATCCTAAGGTTCTTAGTCAAAAAGCAATCTTGTGAAAGTTAATCAGAGTTTTGTCTGAATGAGAAACTAAGGATTTGATCAGTTTTATTTTTGAGCCTAATTCTGTATGTTTGTCCCATTGGTCCCAATGTTTAGATGCTTCTTGTAGAAAATGTGCTTCTTTCTTTGCAAAAGAAAATTAAGAGTTTTAAAGTCTTTCTCACAGTTTCGCAACTTGTAACTGTCTTGTGCTGGAAGTCAGCTGCAGTATCTGGGGTTTCAGCACTGGAAGGCTAACAGACTGTACAAGTCAGCAGTAACAGGCAATGTTAAGTTCAAAAGGGCAGTGGAAGAAATACTGAGGCAGCCTTGAGGGTTTGCCCTGATGGCTTAGGAAGGTCGATACTACGACAGAAAGGGCAAGCTGCCATGAAGCAGGAGGCAGTATCTGAGAAAATGATCCCATTGTCATGCTCAGTTTTCTGATCTTCATTTTCAATCCTTTTTCTCCAAGCACATAAAGAAGCCAGACTATGTGACGACAGGCATTGTACCAGACTGGGGAGACGACATAGAAATTAAAAATGAAGATCAGATTCAAGGGCTTCGTCAAGCTTGTCAATTGGCCCGCCATGTCCTGCTTCTGGCTGGAAAGGGCTTGAAGGTAACAATTACAGAAGTCCCATAACAACTTGAATACATTTTATGCTTTCACTTATTTGGGGGGGTTTCTACCTTTTTTTTTAACTTTCCCTTAATGTGCATCCAACTTTTAAGTTAGATTGTGATAAAAATAAAGGATTTATTAACTTTTGATTCGGTCCATAATATGACTTTTTAATTATTTCTGTATTTTGGACCTATGTAGTACTTAGAGTGAGTTGCTGGCTCAGGTGTAATGTCTCTCAGTCTGTAATCTCCCTCCATTAGGATTGTGCCAAATCATGCGAGTTTCTCATAAGGCCCTTGCTACATTTTTTCCTTTCATTTCATGGCCCATCTTCCTCATACATCATGCTTTCTAGCTCTTCATGTATGCAAATTTGAAGGGCTGGGTTGCCTCCTCTGTTCCTGTCCATCCTTTGGCCCCTCACTGCCCTGTGGGGTCCGGTGTGACTCCTAGAGCTGCCATTGGAAAAAAACAGCTGCCAAATTCTACACAGTTTTCTGGAGTGCATTGGTAATAAAGCCCCATGGTTTCCAGAAATGTTTCTACAGTATGCTTTTCGGGATACCTCCCAAGTTAAAATGTACTGGGAGGAGTCTATTACCAGGTTTTGCAGATGAAGGAGTGCTTTTTTCACCTTGCCTTGGTATTTAGCGTAATAGCATACTGGGTAGGGTAAAATGAGTTGAGTAGCTACGGGATGCAGGGATAGATGGGGACTGCAGGTTAATGCCATTGACTTAAAAGAGGGGAAAAAAATACCAGTTTACCATGCATTTTTTCTTTCAGCTGTCATCACACTTTCCAAGAAGTTTAATTCTGGACCTGGGTGGCCAATAACAAAACTGCCTACATCTTTAATCTTACATAGGCTTATATGTACATGTTTCTGAAGGATCATGTATATGCAATGTGGGTTTTGAATGTGAGCAGTTTTTCACTAATACTCTGGTTCTTATCATGTGTGAAATACATATGTATGCAGCACAGTATAGCTTATGATGCAGTTCATAGTATGTGCCAAATCATACATAATAGCAAAATACTGCATAGATGTAATGAACATTTTGGAGCAAGAAGGTTTATATAAGGTAAGAATTACATGACCAGGAGCTGTGGACTGGGAGGGAGGTGTCATTAGGAGTTGCGGTGCTGTGACCCCTGCCCAGGTCAGCTGGAGACAGGTGGTGAGCCCTGTTTTACACCAGTTAAGTGTTTGGCCAGGACCCTCCCTCACTGCGACAGTAAGCGTCTTCTACTTCCCAGCCTGATGTTGCACGTGGCCAGTTTATACCCATTTGTTCTTGTGCCAGCTCCACTCTTTAACTTAAGCAGCCTCCTCCCTTTCCTTGAGTCTGTCCCCTTCACATAGTAATAGAGCCATTACAGCTTTCAGTGCACCTGGCTAAACAAACCAAGCTCTTTTAGGCTGTTCTCATAAGGTAAACTCTGCACTGCTATTTTATTTGAAGAGCTCTGTCCCTCCACCTGTTCCCGTTGTCTTGTTGAATGCAGCCCTCCAAACCAGCTTTAGTTAGTGGCAGTAACCTTCCCCAATACAACAAAAATGCATTATAATACATGGATGCAGAAAGACGAAGTTTAGGCTGAGTGTTGTTTTGGTACTACCATTCGCTGCTTGTAGGACTTAAAAATACAATGTGGTATTATATATGACGGTATTTCCTAGGTTTGAGTTAATGATTTTGAAATAAAACAGCAAATTCTATGAAATGGAAGTATTTTGATAGATACCATAATATTGGCCTGTCCCAAATAAAGGGTAAAGTGTGCAGTAGGTGCCTCCCCAGCCTTGCCCAGCTAGCAAAAGCTCTTTTAAAAGTAAAAGAGATACTGTTAAAAGCAGAACTTTTCACAGTGTGTAAGCCTGCCATGTAGGGAGCACAGATCTGTCTGCTGAGTGTCCAAAAGCCACATCAAATTCCTTGAGCAGAGCAGCGGCAGACAGCACCCAGTCTGGTACGTAGCGGTTCAGTTTGTCTGTGGGCTGAAAATGATAGATGGGTGAGTGAAGGCAGGAGCAACAAACCTGTATTTATCCAGAACCGATGGCTGCAGTATCCAGTACAGACAGCCCGCTGCAGCTGCGGCTGCCATCCCAGCACAGAGGCTGCAATGGCTACTGCAAAAGCAGGGGGGTTGCACAGTAACCCCATATCCTGGTCTTGAGTGTGATCATTGCTCCTTATCTGCCCAGCCATGTTTTTGTGCTGAACAAGATGCAAGCTGAGCAAAATCAGCCTGGTTTTATCCTCAGCACAGCACACAAGTGTACTCCACTGTATTCATTGTGCATGATCACTGAATATTTCAATATATGGATAAGTATGGCTCCTGCACCACAGTCTACCTATATTCCTTGTGTTACTAAAAAGGCCTCCAAAATCACAGCCACTGTGATTTTCTTTTCCTCTGCCAAGATTGATCTTCATATGTGTACGAAGTATGATTTTCAAAGACTCAAAACTCATTCAAATCAAAATCAATTTGCAAAGGAACCCTGAAAAGCACTTCTTCTCAATGAGGGAGGTTTCCCTACCAAATTTTAAATTTCAGCTCTAACCATTCCAGAGACAGAGTTGATCCAAAAGAAAAACGAGAAGAATGTTGTTTTAAGCGTTTGCATTTTCCACTCCATGGATACTCAGAAAATGGCTGAATGATATATGAGAGGGGTTTTTTAAAATATGTAAAATTGTGAGAAAAAGATGAATCTAGAAAACGTCAAGCATAAAAATGAATATTTCTAAAAATGATGGATAAGCGCCTGTAGATTCACTGTGGTCATCTGGGCTATGGTGACTTTAAGTAAAATATCCTCAAGATATGAAGCCAAATATTTAAATATTTTATAAAATTACAGAATACTTGGAAAGCAGTTTCACAAAATGCACAAATGCATTATGATGAATGTCCTGGGCAGTTACAAGAGTTAAGGTCCTTTCTTTTACAAATCAAAGGGAAAGTAATGGTGTGTTTTAAATGACTGAGAGCATTGAAACCAGACATTTCAGCAGCTACTGAAACAAGGTGCCATGGAAAATTGGTGTCTTTGAGAAATCAGATGTGGAAAAAAGAATGGAAAGGAAGTAGACAGTATTTTAGGTTTTCTAGGAACCTTTAAGTACTCGATTTTACTGTATACTTTGTATAAGACCTTTTTCCATTTTAAAAAAGAAGGTTCAACATATCAATAAAGTATATCAGGCAGTTTAGTGTTTTGTGTCAAAGCAGTGTATTTGAAACATCCGAGATTTCATTGAAATACTTGGCTGCAATCACATTCTGTAAATATGATAAACTATCTTTGCTTTTTTAACAGGATGTTATGTTTGATATTTTAGGTTGGCATGACAACTGAAGAAATAGATTCCATTGTTCATCATGAAATAATCAGTCAGAATGCCTATCCGTCACCTCTGGGCTACGGAGGGTTTCCAAAATCTGTTTGTACTTCTGTAAACAACGTGGTATGTCATGGTATTCCTGACAGGTATTTCCCCAATAATATACATTCTACCACCGGGAATGAAAATGTTAAACTGAAATTAATAAATTATGTTTAACATTGAACATATTTCACCTTAACTAAATGTCATATACAAATGTATTGCAGATGCATATCATGTTACTAATAGATGTTATAGAAATTAATGTGAAATAGGAAAAAATATCCTGTTTGTCAAGAAACTTAAAAAAAAAAAAAAAAGCATAATGCCTTTAGAATTTAGTGTGTGGAAAAAAAACCAAGAACAGTCTGATTTATTTTCTTTCCCTCCAGCAAAATAAGTATAGGGGAAGGAATAAATATATTTGAATTCATGTGTTGTTGTTGTTGTGTGCTTTTTATTATTATTTGCAACACATTCAGCTACTCAGAAAGTAAAATACAAACCCTAGTGAGAGAAAAAGAATATAATGGCAGATTTTTGAGGTGTTGGTATGTTTTTCTGGTAGTCGTTTCTCATTATTTTATATTCAGCTACGCTTGTTCTCTAAGTAGTGAGAGCTGAACATTAAAAATGGTTATTCTTTTTGCCTCGGCCTTCCTCTATCACAAAATATCTACCCCCTGATTTTTTATGTATGTGTCATTAGGTGTTTATTCTTATGTTCCCTTTGTTGGGAACCGTCTGTCACCGTATTTTTTTTTTCTGTTTATGTTTCAGTCGACCTCTTCAGGATGGAGATATTATCAACATTGATGTCACGGTGAGTAATTTATATAAAAAAATAGTCTTTGATCAACTTTAGAATCACTAGTAGCAACAGGAAGAATAGTGGATTGAAGATGGGGGATGCACAGATGGATGTGCTGTTTACTTCTGAGCCAAGGCACAAGCAGCTGGTTTCCTTTTTTGTTTTTAACTGTGTGTTTATTCCAGCTAGACCCAGGCCTGACTTGAATTTAGGACTGGAATCAGATGCACTGAGATCAATGTTGGCCTAAGTGAAATGTCAACCCAATCCTGCTATGTGTCATGTTTTTGAGAAGGTGTAATTGTTATTGATCCACTGTGTAGTTAATGCAGAGCACCACAGTACTGGGCAGCAGCTGAAGATAGATATGTATGAGATGAGCTAACATGAAGAAAGCCAGCATTTTTCCTTCACTCTGCCAAGATTGATCTTCCTCTTCCTGCTGATTTTGAGTGGGGCCTGACATTATCTTACTCTGTCATTAGAGGCTACATTGGCCTGTGTATGTCAGTCTATTTGGACAGCAACTCTTTTGCTAGCAGTGTTCCCTACATTTATTAAAATCCCTGAAGGTAGTGTTGTGTTCCATTTCTGGTATAAAAGCCCTGAACCTTTTGCACAGAAACAGAAATAGTGTGATATAACTATGACTTAATATTTCCAGAGAATGGTCAATTATAGCTATTTAAATAAACACCAGCTGGATTTTCTTAGGAGCAAGAAAGTACAGAAACTGGAAGCCTGATTCTCATTTCATTCATATATATATAAAAAATTAAGCTGTCTCTTGCAGAAGCTTTTTTTCTTTTTACTGTGCATGTTTTTATTTTCCCAAAGTGCAATTTATTTCTAATATGAGCGCCGATGTCTTTTGAATCCCACTGTTGCTTTGCAATAATATGTCACATACAAGGGAGTAACATCTCGTAACAATGAGCATTTTTAATCATTAAGGGAACTTTTGGTAACTTGATACTATTTTCCATGGGTCCAAATTTCATACTGGCAGAACTGGAAGAAATCTGCAGCAGACCTACCTCTGAGCATGAGATTCAAGCTTTCTAAAATATTTTTTCTATTAAAATTAGGGTCAGTGACCTTTTTCCCATGGTATCCGCACGTGTGATCTAGAACTGGGTTTGCTTTGGTTGTTTTTTTGATCTTTCTAAATTCATTCCCATCTCCATACATTCTAATTGTGGAATTGTGACAATATCAGGTTTGCACAGTGTGATTTATCATTTTGAAAGTGTATTTTTGGCCTGCATTTTTACTTTGGTGAACTGGTGTACCTTGGCTCATTTTATTAGTCTAAATCAGTTTGCAACAGCTAAGGATTTAACAGCAGATTTTTTTGCATCTCATTAAGGTAAATTTTATTTTTTTTATCTTTTAGGGTAATAATGATGCCATATATATATATATATATATGTAGAAGTATAGATTCATGAAACAGACACTTTCCATGATAAACTAAATGAAATATTTTTATATTAGTGCATATCCTGCTCACTCTGCTTTACAAATAAAGTCTGACTAAATGTTAGTGATCTTTTTGATTGCACATTTTTATTTGTTTTCTGTTTAGCCTTGTAAAATTTAATAAATCTTGAAGTTTCTGTGAATGTGAAGACTCCTGCAAGGATGAGAATTTCTGATTATCTTTGTAAGATCTTTTTACCATTCAAAACTGAACTGTGCTGTGTTTGATAATTGCTCAGTTCCAAATAGCTGAAGAAAAAAAAGATTGCTTTTCAGAGCTGCTAACTGATCTTTTAGCTTATTTTTAATGAGCAAATCTGGGTCATTTGACAGGTGGACAGAATAAAAATCAAAGTAAATGCTGCACAACAAATTGTTTATAATTGTGTACAGGCTCTATAAAATGGCTAAATAATGCTCTGGTTATTGAGTGTAAAAACTTCACGCTATGTACAAATTATTTGAAGAAAAAAATCCATTTTTGCACAATTAAGGTGGTAAAATTTCATACATGAAATACAAATTTTATTGGCTGGTATCATGTGGTCTTTAAAATGTATTTTAGTGTAGAAACAATAGCATTATCCTTCACTGAATCCTCAGCATAGTGCAATTTTCAGCCTGCCATTACCAGGTTAACATTTCTTACAACTTGGTTCTTTCATTGACTTCTAAGGAATTAGCATGTTACAGTTGCTGTGGTTGTAGCTTATTAACGTCAGAAGTCTGTAATTGCAGTTGATGGGCTGCTGTAAATATTACTATTAATTTTAAGCTCTCCTATGTTTTAAGTCTGTATTTTCTTTTTCAGGAGGATGATGATGTTTAATGCTGGGGTTTTGTGTGTTGTACTTGCTAGCACTAAAAATGAACCAGTTTAGTTTAAATATGAGCTAGCTCATATTATACCAATGGGCATTAAATTAATAATAGAAAAAAAGAAAGAGAAAAGATTTATTGGCAGTCTGGAATGGCAGAGGAAGGTGTAGAGCAGGAGGTCACAGCCACTCTCCACCAGAGTGGTGGCAACACAGTTGGATGCTTGCTGGCACTCACCTTTTAAACACCTCTCGCTCCTAACTGCCTGCATTTTGTTCCCATCTCACCCTGAACACAAACCTGGCCCTGGCATAAACTGTCTGTAGCCAATTTTTTACTTTTTTTATTTTTTTTCTAGTTTGGAATTGACCAAAAAGAATGTGAGCCTGGCTTTCACAAATAGCTCACCAGTGGCAAAAGTTCAGTGCTTTGCGCTTGGTGAGTTATTAGTCCTAGAAGGATAGTTGCCCACTGTTCAGGAGGAGAAAAAATGTTTTAGAAGATCAAAACTGTGCACCATTATAATTTGTCTTTCCTTAGGGTAATTTGGCTTGGTCTTACAATTATGCGCCTGCCTGCCATACCTCAGAGCTGCAAACCCCATTTTAATGGCGTGTTGCAGAGCTCCATAATGCATAGCCAGGGCTTCCTGTGGCCGGCAGAGAACTTGTGGAGAGCTGATGTTTAAAGCCTCCGAAATGTCTGAAAAAAACAAAAATGTTTTTATTCAGCAGGGTGCCATGTTTTCAGCACATGAAACTTTGCAGTGTCAGAATGGTACATTTATTGTCTTTCAAAATTCAGCTCTGGATACCAGAAGTAAAATCCAGTGTTAATGCCCCACTGTAGTTTAAAATTGAGACTAAAGCAAACAGGCAGAGATTGGCTGTAGATTTGGCCGTACATTCCATGGGGCTCCCTGTGGATGTTGGTAACAGGGTACCCCTCTCACCCAGCTGTGCACAGTATCACTCAAAACCCCAGCAGGGATTGGTGGCTATGGAGTTGTGGGTCTCCCTGCTAGAGCTGCTGGCTCTTCAAGTGCCCACACCCAACACCGGAACTCAGCAGCCAACCCTGTGGTGTGCAAGCAGGTCCCCAGCCCCAGGAGCAGGTGTCCTGGGTGGGTGGGCTCCCAGTGGACCCTTCAGCCCATGCACAGCCTCCATCCATGTTCTTGCATGCAGCCCAGTTAGCCTTGTGTCCTGTAGCTGAGCAGTGTCATTGTCTGGTGCGCTGCTGGGCAGTAATGCACAACTTTTGCTTTTCTTGAATTTTTAATTGGCAATCCTTACACACCTTGCAATCTTCTGTGCCTTTTGGTTGGTTGTTTTTTTTCTCCTTTGCAATGTTTTGCTTTTCTGGTCTCATTCTCACAAATACAGCTTACCCATGGTCTAGCTGTTACAGTACATGGCTCGTTCCTAGAAAGAATGGATTTAATTAAGGAGACAATCTGTTTCTGGATGCAAAATGAGAAAATGTCTTTACGTTTCTGTATGTGTTTAGGTGTATTACAATGGCTACCATGGTGACACTTCTGAAACCTTTTTGGTGGGCAATGTGGATAAATCTGGTGAAAAGTTAGTGGAGGTTGCCAGAAAATGTAGAGATGAAGCAATTGCAGCTTGCAGACCAGGGGCTCCCTTCTCTGTAATTGGAAACACAATCAGGTAAGCCTTATATTGACAAGTAAAAGGAGGGCTGGCAAGTGGGACAAAGGTTATTGGTGGTTTGGTATAAAGCTGATGACATGTTTTATGATTCAAAACCATCATTTTAGTCTGATATCAGTATGTGAACTGCCAAGCTGTAATGTTGGTCCTTGGGTAAGAGACTTTTTTTTTTTTTTTGAGTGAATTACACTGGGGTCAGCAAAGATAACTGCAGAAAGAGTCAAAGATGTTCTCGAGATAGCTTTAAATTAACAGATGTAATTTGCGGTGGGGTTTTGTTTATTTTGCATTTGTCTGTGAAACTACACCACATCTGTCTTGCCATGTGAGGAGGTTAGAAACCATTGTTTTTGTTGTATAGCAATAACGAATGTTACAAAGGAATTAGTCAACATAAATAAGTCTCTTTGTTTAAAAAGTACAAAAATATTTAACTCAAGAGCTTTTGATCTTACAAAGAGCAGTGCATGCTAACGTCACAGGGGAAAAAAGAGCTCACATTCAGAGATTTTTCCCTATTTTGCATCTCTTCTAGCCTTCACATAAACACCGTCATGCCTCTTCTGCTGGCAGCTTTGAATAAAAATACGGCTTAGTTTCTTGAAGGTAACTATGAATTATTTTAAAATGTTTGCCAAAAAAAGCATAGACATATATCACATACATTGCATTAAGCAATACTTCTCTGGACTATTAATGGTCCCAACATGCTATTGAATACATTCTGATTACTTAAAAGCTGCAAGGCTTAGTCACCTTGAAAGGATGCTGCTTTTTTTTTTCTTTGTAAATCTTCAAATACTTTGAGGAAAAAAGAGAACGGCAAAATATCAGTTAGATGTATTTATAGCTTTAAAAATATTGTAACAGAGTCTGAATCAAACTTTAGTAAAACCTCTTTGGGTTATATCTGAGAAGCTTTTATTGAAGACTTTGTATAAAATTGTGTTTTTGACAGTTTTAAATTATAGGCTAACTAGCCTGGAGAAAAAGGATAGTGTCTTTCTGTTCTTTCATAGGAAATGTTGAATCAGACCCCTACTGGGAAAAGAAATTTAATGCATATCTCACTATCTTACTGTCCATGAATATAATAGAAGTGAATTCAAAATGTAGTTTTATTTTTGCAAATGGGATGAGTCGATAGATGCACCTCATATTTTTGAACACCTAGGGTTCAACAAATTTACTGGTGGTGCTCTTGCATTTTAACAAAATTTATTCTTGAGTAGAAGGGGGCACAGAACACTGGATTCTTATTCAAGCATTCTATCGAGCTCTGCATTCATGGCTGTGTCTAAAGGGCATGTCAGCCTTTGATTCTCTCTGAGAGGTAATTATCCTTTTCCTGTCACGGAACAACAAATGATAGCTAACTACAGAGGCACATTTGCAGTAGTCACATTCATCAACTGCAGAAAAAAAATTCAATTTAATTGTGCAACACAGCTGCACATAGGCTTTTTGAGCATTTCTGTTGTTCTCCCTGTCTTGCTATTCCTCCCTCCAGATCTATTTTTTAAACTTTTTTTCTGGTTATTTTTTTCCCCTTTTTTGTCTCTTCTTCCATTTTTACTCTCTGTACTTTCTTGTTAAAGTAATTTTCCTTTGTGGCTCTCATTCTTTTTTCCCCATTGAAGGCTATGAATGTAGAAAATTATCACAATTACTCATATAATTGAGCCTCTTTGTAGCAAGTGCAACTCCAGTAGCCTTTCTCCATCATGAAAATGGTTTCATTATAGGGTTTTTCATATTCTCTGACACCATCTACACAGAGGAACAGGCGTGCAGATGAGATGTACTAGGAACAGGGTAGATCAGTAAGGTCACAGTAGGAATAATTAGCTCTGCTATGGAAAGAGCATCTAGGCCTTTTACTGCTACATAAATGTACTGTCCGTGGCTTTTAGTCACAAAAAAACTTACTAACAAATGGAGCTCCCGCCTACTACTTTGAAAAAAAGATTTGTATCAACACTACAATTTTCCATCATTAAGACTAATAACACAGAGCCTAGTATACATCAAGGGGAATAAAAAGAAAAATCTCACATTCAAGTGGCGGCTGGGTGCTGACCTTTGTTCCCTTTTTTTGTGTTCAACTTAACTCTTTACAAAAAAGAGCCACACGCCACACCAACATGCAGGTGAACTCCAGCTAGTGCTAGCAAAGCATGGCATTCAATTGGAAAATCTGATAAATCTCCATGCAGGATAATGCATTTCATTACAGATTCACTACATTAATTCTAGCTGTATTAAACAAACAAAAAAAAAGGAGCAAGAAGAAAAAATAATAGAATTGAATGTGACATTGGATTTTTGCTGTGTTGGTACAGAGGTCAGTTTACTTGCAAAGTGTAAATATATATAGTCAGCACCCCCTTTGAAAAGCAGATTAATCAAAGCTAATAGCTGTTCAAAACTACATATGAAATAGCAGGTCATTAACTTTATTTCTCAGGAATTTATCATGTTGGCGATTTAAATGTGCTGATTTGTTTAAAACTACTTTAACACTGCCTCTGCTGAAAGATTGCCTTAGTTTGCTGAAGCTGTGTGTTTCCAGTTATTTGTGATTTGATATTTGCATGCAGACAGACATATATAATGCATACATACATACAAATCTGAAGCTTTGAAAGAGTTAGATACCATAAATACCCAAGAATAGGCACCTACCTACAAGCTGAAAACATTTAGGCCCATCAGAATGCAAATGTGTCTTGGTTTCTTTCATCAGTATTTCTGGATAGGTGCTCAAGTGATATGCAGAACATATCTTACACACAAATAATCAGAATATTTCCTTTCTACAATAGTTTTCCAAGTAATTATATTGCAGAGATGAGTTTGCATTCAGTATTGTAGCATAGTCTTTGTTATGGAAGCTCGATAGCTGACACTCCATGTTTCATGGATTCCTTCTCCCATCACCTACAAGTTGCAAATAAAAGATTGCATGGATTTGCGAGTTAGTTCGCTTAGAAAAATCTGACTCTTTGCTGACCTGTTCTTACTGAAGGTGGTGGCAAAACTATCAGTCAGCTCCACTGGAAACGGAACTGGGCCCTGCGTTCCATTTTCTTCTGCCATTTCTGACATTTCTCTTCCTGACAGAAACAAGTCTAGTTTGAAATCTACTTGTTAGACAGTGAGCTTAAGTACGTGGAAGTGTTGTGTGAGTGTAGAGAGCTAAAAATATAAATGTGAGATTATTAAAGAAACCAGTTTCCGACTCCTGGGAAAAAAAAAAAAGGGGAGTAATGAAAGTGTTAATAAATGGTTTAAAATGTTTAACTCATAAGTATATGTTTTGATATTAATTTAGAACAATATAAAGCGGATTTTTAAAAAAATCTGTTTCTATCAGATTATGCACATTTAAACAATAAGTGGCTCAGGCAAAATAAGTCATTTTAATGTCATCTGTGATAGATTTTCCTTGACAGCTACTGTAAATTACAATTACACTGCTTCTCTCTGCACTTGAAAGTAAGCATTGCAATAAATTATCTTTTATTTCAATCCATCATGTCTGCTTTCAGAAACAGAGAACCTCAAATAAAAGTTCAGTACTATTGTAAGAAAAATACAGTAATTTGTGTTCCAGTTTGAAACTAAAATGTACCTTTCTTTCAAAAATATTACTAATTATACCTCAACATTTATTGTCATTATAGGGAATCCCTGAACTTGTGCATTCCCTCAGTCTAATATTATTGTTTAAGAGAAAAATAATTTACTATTTTCCCCGTAGAATTTTATAGTTTCTTAAATTGGATAATATGGTACTATTCAAAATGGTTATAAAATTCAGGAGGAAATCTCATTTAGGCTGATTCTGTTTTCAAGAATTAAGAAATTAGAAGAAAAGGCAAATATGCCATTCAGTGGTCATTTTGCTAACAATATAGCTAAGAAAAACACAATTACTTCTAATAAAAAAAAAATACCTAGATAAGAAAACAATTGTCATAGGTCTCATCTCATTCAGTGTTTCCCAAGTGTGTTCCCAAGTGCCCAAAAGTGTAAGACAGGTTTAGCAACTTCAGCCATTCATGTCATGCTGTTCTCTCTGCAAGATTGTTTTATCCCTGGGGAAAGAAGCTGGCACTGTAGGGCAAGCATCCCTAGCTGGGAAGGAATCAATTCACCAGGATGTTCAGCCCAAGCAGCAAAGCTGTCTGTGCCATCTTTGGCAATCAGCAAAATTCTTCACTTATGCCATCAAAGAGCCCAAAGTGATTTGTGTCAATGATAAAAAGAGGATTTGTTTCACTTTGTTTCCTGTGAGGGCTTAGAATACTGTACCAGACTTGCCTTGAGGAAAATTACAATATTTGGTAAAAAGGAAAGAAAACGCAGGTTTGGGTTGGTTTTCTCCCCTCCCCAGAAAAAAATGGGGTTTCAGTCCTAAGACTGAATGTATGTTTTTTTCCTCTGGAGCTGGGTTGCCCGTTATCCTGTAGATGCTCCTAGAGGCTATCTGTACAGGGCCAGCCCCCTAAGGAAATTCTTTCAACCTGCTTTTCAGCTTCATAGCAGGAGGGATTTATAACCCAAGAGCTCCTTTCAGAGGAGGCTGCAGAGTATCAAGGAGAGCTTTGTAAGAGTCAGTCCTGCCTGTTGTGGCTTTGTGGCAATTTCCCTGTTGGACTGCTGGCAGGACAGCAATGCACGTCTCCAGACTCATCCCTCCTTTTGGAGAATTAACTGTTGTCTGGCAACATGGGAAGAGGGTACTCGGGGGAACTGGCACCCAGCTCTCTTGTCTCTGTCCATTCTCAGAAGCATGATACCACCACACAAAAGCTCTGCCTATGTGTTTAGGTGGACAGCCTGGCCCTCAGTGATGTTCCTTTACCAGCTTGACTGCTTCCAGTTCATCCCAATGCCAGATACTTTGCCTGGCTTTGCCATCAGAAGAGAAGCAGCACTGCAGGTACTCTTGACTTTGCAGCCACTGGGCTGGAACACATGGCAGCAAAACGTAAAATCAAATACTGGGCTCATTAAATGATTATGCTTTTAATCCTGCCCAATTCACCTCTGCCCAGGTGTGCAACATGGCTCAAAGAATAAGCTGTGTGATGGTAAATGTGTCAATGGATATTTTTGACAATGGTTATTTTGAAGAATCTTTTTTTCCCCCTTGATGCTGTCAGTGTGGCATGGCTTTACTGCCCAGCCTTTGCTCTGGAAGTGATTCGGCAGCCAAAGGGAACTGGCAGACTGGCGCATCCACCCAGTGGTGCAGCTCTCCTTTCCCACGGCAGATGCCAGGTAGCCCAGCTCAGCCATGCCAACTCCTGCCTCCACCTTCACTGCTTTCCCACTTGCAGTCAGGACTCCTCTGGATGCCTGATCTTATGTTGCCTGTCTGCTAGGTGCAGCACATGGAGCTGGGGCTGCAATCTTGTAAAGCTGCCTTCCAGGAAGAGCTGGAAAGAAAGGCCAACACTGACAGGTCCTGAGCTGGGCAGTGAAACAGTGAAACTGAAATGTTGAGCTGTTGTCAGCAGCAAATGGCAGAACTTGTGCAAAAATTATCCACTCCATGGCATCTTGATTTTTAATCAGATTCCACAGCCTGGGAATCCTGGAGGCTGGAGGGGCTGACCAAGATTAACAGTTCAATTCACTCTTCTCAGAGCTGTTTCACAGTCCTCCTGACAGCACTTAGGGCCAACGTGTACATTTGCAGGATTGCTTTTGCAAGTTATAGCTGGGGTTAGTAGCTTTGGGTTTTTAGGAAAGCTGCGTGTTTTACTGTAACTCCATAAGGACGAATGAGCTCACTAGGATTTTTAAATACTCCAAAGTAAAGCTAGTAGTTGTGGAGTGAGATTCCCTATGAGGTGTTTCTGAAGCGCATGCAGATGCTAAAGCCAGATTGAACGTGCCTGAGTTTCATACCTGCAGCTTATTTTCTCCACAGGTTTTCTGTGTGTCACTTCAGGTTCATTGACCACATTGCATTTTATGTAAAGAATACCCAAGCTCTCTATGTAGACGTTATTAAGTGGGAAGGAGGAGGGGCACGGACGTCTGTCAGCACCGATGTCAAAGCCCTGTGAGCTCCAAGATCCCTTATTTTGATCACAGACAGCAACCACTGAAGTATTGGTGCCAACAGAGTTGTTTTCAAGCTGTTTGGCAAGAAAGTGGCAGAATTTGCTGTTGAAATGCACAAGAACCACTTCTCTCACCATCTGAGGACAGGATGCTGTCTTAACACTGCCTTCTGTGTACCTCAGTGCTCTTGCACCCGATGCTCAGCACGCAGCTGCTGCTGCCACTGCCACCCTCCTCAGCAGCAGCTGAGTGCTGAGATGAGAGCTTCCCTTGCCCACAGAGAGTGTGTAGCCATGGTGCCTGGAAGAATAGCTGCACAGAAAAGAGCTTTCTGTCTTGCTACAGAAGATGGGTATTTCTTGGGGGGGGGGGGGGGGGGGAAATCCTGTAATAATACAAAACAACTCATAAACCAACCGTGCTTTTTCAGTGGTCAGGAGTGCCATGTAAGGACATTGGCAAAGCTGAGTAGTCAGTGGGATTGTTTGTCCTCTTGCAAAAAGGCTTGCAGAAGAAGGTGAAAGAAAAGCTTATCACATGTTGCATGGATGGCTTCTCCCATCTCTCTTCAGAGAATTGCTTCACCCAGATGGGACTCATTATCTGCATTGCTCTGGGCTTGGTCACTGGAGACCATCAGTTTCATTTTGCGTATGTTTCTGAGTAATCTGGCTTTCGGACTCCATTCCCCGTGCTTCTTCCTTGGCCTTCAGTATTGTCATAGCCAGCAGGCCAAGTCTCTGACCCAGATGTGGGCAATGTGTTAGGCAGGGGAGAAAGTTTTCCATCTCTAAGTAGGACTTTTTGCTGCATAAACCTTCATTACTTTTTTTCCATATAGATGGTTTTGTGTGCAACCAAACGAAGCCAAACTTCTAGCCTTATTGGTAAGTGTCTTTGCCAATACTTAGGAGTTTGGAGGCAGCTAAAATTGACATTCCATTTTCTCTAGAGTTAATGAATGAAATGTGATGGGTCTTTGTATCAGGGCAATGGGTGGGTAAAAGCTAATATACAAATCCTGTTAGAATGTGCTCTTAAGGTCTGAACACTGCAGCATTATTAACCATTGACCCGACTCCTCTCTCATTGTCATTTTGCTGTGGTGGAGCACCATGTCCCTCAATTGCAGTGGCATTAAATTCTAGGATGGTGACCCACAGGCACTGGAGCCAGCACTGCAGGGTCTGTGAAGCCTGGTGTGCAAAGGGATTACTGCATACAGCAGGTTGAGGCCACTTTGCACCTGAGTGAGAGTCTCCCTGTAGGGTTTAACATGCTTTAATTTCTGTGAGAGCTTACAATTTTGTTTGAGTTTCTTAACTTTTCTGCTTTTCCACCTGTAGTCAAACTCTGAGAAAACATGTTATGGTTAAATATAGGCAATCCTGACGTTTTTAAAACTTCAAGTTTGATTCAAAACAAGTTTGATTTTAATGTTGTAGGTGAAATCTTTCAGGCTTAGTGCCTTCCTGCTTGATTTTAGAAATAGTATGAAGATCATACGCAGGGACAGGGATAACCTCCTTGTCACTTCTAATCCCCCTCCAGGTCCCCCCAAACCTCTGCACATTTCTGTTTCGGATGTGACAGCCTTCCTGGCTGAGCCCTTAAGTCACCCCATGCACTGCTGGCTGAGTAAGGGCAGAATCCGAGAGTGAAGCCTGCAGACATGGGGTAGCCCAGCAGCCAGAGGACACCCCACATGCGTTTTTTAGGAATCAGAATAGGAATTTGCTTTCCTGACATGGGCAGGGATCAGTGCCTGACCATGTTCCTGCAGGCAGCTCTCAGAGATGTTCCTCCCTGAGGCAGGCCCTGGAGAACAGGACAGATCTCCCAGGCAGAACTGATGAACTATGACTCTTCCATTTTGTTACTGAAGGGTTTGGTGATGGGTTCATTATCAGGAATAGATTTGCTGGAGTTTCAATACATTTTGGTACAGAATATTTGCAGTATTCCAAAAAGGAAGCAGTAGGGCTCTTAACTCTCCCTGTTGGCAGCAAGAACCTCTGTTCCTGCAGAAAACCCAGTGCAGACAGTGCATACACAACCCAGCATGGACTGTGCACAGAGGGAGGGCTTGGCAGACGCAGAGGCTGCAGTTTGGTGGTGTGCTGGAGTCTCAGCTGCGTGACTTGGCTGCCATTTAGCTGTCCCAGGTTAAAATGAGTTCCCAGTGTGCTTGTGGAAAAGGTTACCCAGCATTAGATAGGGACATGATATGCTGCCGCCTTGCATAGACAGAGCAGGGCTGACACAGAAGCTACCAGCCTCTGCTGGCAGGCATGTTCACTCTGAAACCTAACAATGGCTCACCAGTGCTAGTTCCGACGGCTGCTGTCTTTTGGAGCAGGCACAAAGTGGTGACCCAGTGTTGGGGATGGGAGCTGGGTGATGCTGCTGCTGATACCAGTGTGGTGGCAAGACCCGGGGCTGACAGAGGTGGTGGTCGGGCCACACTCCCTCACGGTGTCCTCTTTGCCCTCGCAGCTCCGTGGCGCTGCAGGGCGGCTTCCAGGTCTGCCCGTTCTTCGTCGGCCACGGCATCGGGTCGTACTTCCACGGGCACCCCGAAGTGTGGCACCACGGTAAGCGGCCCCACTGCCCCCCGCGCTCTCTCTGCCGCCGGCAATGGAACGGCTCCAGGAAGGGGGGTAAAACGAACAGAACCCCCCTCCTCACCCAGGCACGCTGCCGGTCCCGGCGGGGATCCCCGGAGAGGGGGGCGTTCCACGCTGGGTGCTGGCGGGCAGACCCGGCCTCCTTTTCTGAGAGTCGCGCGGGTATTTTTGAGGACAGATCGCTCGTTTAACCAAGTCGTTGGGGCAGCAGTGTCCCGCGGACCGCCTCTCACCCCCGCTCCGGGTGGCATCCGCCGTGTCCCGTGGCCCCACACCCCCATAACCTTGCATTCCCCCCCCTCCCCGCTCCTGAGCCATGCCGGCAAAGTTTGTTACAGGGCAAAGAAAAATCTCGGCCGAAAAGTTAATGTCCTCGCACCCGGCCTGGACGGAGCCGCCTTCGGGCGGTCCGACTGCTGCCGAGGTGGGATCACTTTCGGCGGATGCTGCGGTTCGTAGCGGGGACCGGCGTGCGCGGTACCTGCGAGCCAAAAAAGGGGGTTAAACCAAGTGCTGTTTGTGTTTATTAAAAAGGGAAGAAAAAAACAACAACCAAAAACCCAACAGTCATAACCGCGTTTTTATTTTGTTTTGTAGCCAATGACAGCGATTTGCTAATGGAAGAGGGAATGGCGTTCACTATAGGTTAGTAACTCTCTGCTACGGGTTTCTTTATAAAAGTACACACAGAGCAGCCCAGATTCGGACCGTTTCTTTATTGGGATATCGAAATACCCGTGCAGATAGGGGAATGTCGGCGACGCTGACCCCTTAGGAAGCAGAAGATTAAAATATCATTTTTTTAAATGCATTGAGGAAACGATTGAGTGAAATACCTTCCAAATGACAAGATTCAGAAAATTAAATGGTTATTATAGATCCTCCTAAATGAGATTTTGGAAGAGTATTTTTGGCAAGGCGGAGGCTCTGCCGCCCCCCTTGGGCTGTGGGGGATGGGAAGGGTGGGAAGGATGGGTAGGATGGGTCCGTGTCCCCGCAGCTGCGGTGTACCGGGGAGCATCAGCCCAGAGTGGCTCGTACTCGCCAGCTGCCCGGCGGGGCTGCGGCTGGGCTCTGGGGCCGCGGGCTGAGCCAGCAAGGTACCAATCACGGAGAGCCGCCGGGGAAAAGCCCTCTCTCGCACCGTGTGGCTAAATGGCAATTAGAGGGAAATAAGAAAATTGTTGTTTTGCTGATTTAATGAACATTTTAAGCCTGTTTAAAAAATTCACATATTTAAAACTATCTGCTGTTTATAAGTGTGGTTGGTGCGTTGGTTATTATCCACGGGGTCTTAATTAAAGCTTGATTAAAATTCCCTGCTTTTACAAAAGAGGAATGGGCAACTTCCTACCTTGATGTCTTCCTCTTTAGTTCCCATTTGAGTGTTGCAAGGGAGTGCCAGCCCAGGGGAGCAGGACCTGTGCAGAAGGGGAGCTACCTGCTGGGACACCACCCCACATACCCCCCACACACACTTTCTTTCTTGCTTCACACTCCACACAACTAACTTTAGAATGCATCTTGTTTTTCTTGCTGCAGAGCCGATAATAATGGAAGGATCCCCCGAATTTAAGATTCTGAAAGATAAATGGACTGCAATTTCTGTAGACAATAAAAGGTGCCTGATTTAATTTTTTTGATCTTTCCTAAAGCTGTAGAACTGATCACTGACAGCCAAAAAAAAACCACCCAAACCGGGTGAGTGTTACAGGCATGGTGGATGCATTTGTCCCCTAATAACTGCTAAATGTGCATTTCAGATCAGCACAGTTTGAACATACCATTGTGATTACCTCAGAGGGAGCAGAAATACTATCTAAACTGGTGGAAGAAGCCTAAAGATGGAGCAAGAAGCGGAGGGACTCACTGTGCTTCTGGGATTTCCAGTTTCACTCGGAAGAGAGGAGGATTTCTGTAGTTTCTGTGGAGAATGGGTGCTGCAGAACTCACAGCAGAGGACAGAAAAAGCAGCTGGAGAGGTTGGCTCTGGACATAGACCTGTCCGTGTGTTAGCTGGTGAGGATTTAATAAAGTCCTTTGGCTTGTTTGTGACCCTGGAAGCAGCCATGCACAGCCTGCGAGTGCGAAGGGTTTGGGTTATTTGGGGTGAGGGGCAGAGAGCGGGTCCCCTCTCTTCCAAATCCTGTGTGGGACAAACACGTATCAGATGACATGGTCTCTGTGCAGCTGAGAGGACAGGGGAACATAGAATTTTCCCTTTATAGCTAAGATACGGGGTCAGTTTGTCTACACAGCGATTGGCACACTGCTGTTTCCCAGGCTGTAACTTCTACTAGGGTGCAAAAAAGTTTCCCAAGGGTGGTAGGAGCGGCAGCCACCTCTTCTCCCACAGCCTTCCCAACAGCAGCCCCCTCCCCTCCTTCCTGCCTCGGCTAATTTCTCTTTGCACAGCACAAAGAAAAAAGTGATTAAAAATGAGATGCGAAGCTTGCTTCTCTGGAGATCAATAATTGCCCTCCTTGAAGAATTAGCCGGTTTGGGGTAATCACTGCTCTGCGGTGCCCATGTTAGTTAAGGGAGAGGCACTCCGCAGTGAAAGCGTTTAACAGAAACAGAAGAGTTTGCGGTCTGAAGGGTGCCCCGGCTCCTGGACGGAGTTTGGAGCTGATGCTTCTCATGAGCTGTGGGTCCCACTCGGCACCGCGCTCCCTGCGGTGCTGTCCGGGGCTTGCGGGCACTGGAAGGGGGGGGTGGGGGGGTGGTGTCGTTTGCAATTAGCCGGTTACTGACTGCCCCACCGGGCCGGACGGCTCTGGCTTTGGTATTGAGAGGCTACTGGAACAGGACCTGGTCCTTTGAAATGCGGGGTAGCTTTGGAGATCAGTAAGGGACATCGAGAAATGCCCCAGATCCGCGGCAACAAAGGTGCGGTTTTGGCACAAATAATTTGCCCTTAATTGTAAGCAGATGCTGTCCTGTGCCGAGATTGCCACATGCAGGCGACCGGGGCTGCTCTGCACCGAGTCCCTCGGTGGTTCAGGGCAGAAGTAAGCCCCTTTCTTACAGCATTACGCTGCTGTTTGTTTTCACTCGAGTACAGCGAGCTGTCAGCTCTAATAGTTCCTAACAGCATCTTTTCAAAAAGCAGGACCCCACCAGAGCACGGCTAACACCGCGGGGCAGCCGCTTAGCTCCGTCCTCCCCGAGAGGAGCTTGGAAAGCCTTAAAACCTGTAAAAACAAACGATGCAGCCAACAAGTTTACAAATACACAGAGGTTAAACAGCGCGCTGAGCCGCGGGAGGCGAGGGACCCCCAGCACTGCCCGACGGACTGGGAAGGGGGTATTTTACTTTCGGAGACCCCGGGGCGCTGGGAGCAGCTGGGGGTCCCGCGCGTCCTGGCAACACACCAGGGGCACCTCCCGGCGGGTGGCCGCTCCGAGAGCCCCTGGATGGCACCGCAGATGTTGAGCTTCCCCCGTCCCCTGCCGCGGCTTGGGGTGAGGCGGGAAAGGGGCAGCTGGGGGCAAGGACACCCCCCCCCCCCTCCCCCGCTGCCCGGTGTTAAGGAGGCTGCTGGCAGCCCCTGGAAGTCCTTGTTTGCTCTGAATCCCTCCGTAACTGACGGGATTACTTCTTTTACCGGCCGCGGTGGAGCGGTGGCAGCCGGGCGCTGGCATTGATGGCGCACGTTTGTAATCCTAATTATGAATGAGACTGAAGGGATGCCTCAGCTACGCGGGGACAGCCGGCGCCTCGCACAAGCCTTTCACACAGGAACCCCTGCGGGCAAGCACGGCAGGAACCCCGACGGGGCGGTCGCCCCCGAGGGGTCGGGGCATCCAGCGGCCCCTCCGTGCCCGCCTAAGCCGTGCTGCCCAGGGCCGCTGTTGCACGGAGAACGAGCACAACCGCGCCGTCCGGTCCGCGGGGTTTTGGTGGGGCCGGCAGGATTATGGTTCGCCCCGAGACCTGCCAGCGCCCGGACAACCGGAGGAGGTGGCGGCAGAACCGGTGCGCACGGAGCAGCTTCCTCTCTCCGCAGCCGCCGGACTCGAGGCCGGTGGAGGCGCCGGAGCTGCCGGGGTGCCCCGTCCCACCTCGGAGAACGCGCAGACACGCCGCGGGTGGTCACTTACATGGCCGGGGGCCATAGTCGGCTGCCGGAGGGGTCCGTGTGGGGACACACCGCTGCCGCCCCTTCCCGCTCCGAGCCGCGGCAGCTCCGTGAGAATGAACTTTGCATCGCGAGCAAAAAAAAAAAAAAAAAAGGGAAACAAAAGGAGGGGGAGGAAGTAAAAGAGGCGTTAGGAAATGGGCAATTAAACCGACAGAGCTCTAATGAAGGAGGGGGGCGGGGGGGGGGGGGGGGGGGAGAAAAGGAGCGGTGGGGCTCTCTCTTGTCAGGTTTTGCGCAACCCTGAGAAGGTTGCTTCAAAGACCGGCTCTGCCCGGTGGAGCCCGAGCCCGGTATGAGGGCGCTGCTGGGGTGCCCCAGCCCCGGTGGCGGTGGAAGGCTGTCCGGGACTGCCACTTCCAGTGGCATCAGCCCAGTGATTTGTTTTGAATGTTCCCTTTTATTGGTGTTCCCCCTTCGCCAAAACGCGCTTGATTACATAGATGCGGTGCCGTGATAACTGCGCACCCTAGACAACCTAGGTGTAACCGGGAAAGTTCAGCCCAGGCCAGATCAAATCCCAGGCTGTTTAATGCTGGAAGGCTGCATGTTGCTATTAGTGTTAAATATATGGCTAATTATGCGTATGAAAATTAAACATCAGTGTTATGCTAATGGGGCCGCCTTCAGCTGTGGATCAGAGCACTTGAGACTAGCATTTAATCAAATGAATCAGTAACTAATACATCTGCACGTGTGAACTTTCACAAGATCATTTTCCTGTTACAGTCACACCGCTGAATTATGAAAGAAATAATTATCAACACTTTCTAATTATCTAACAAAGTGATTTGGGATTCATCGTCGGCTTTCTGGGGA